TCTAGTACACCCCCAAAACAAAATCAAGACTTTGTAAAAGAGCATAATAGGACCCCTTTAAATAAAAATATCTAAATTATGGAGTCAAAAAAATCTGAAAAGAAAATTAATAAAAGTGTTCTCTTTTGCATTTGTGTAGTTTGCTTTTTGTATTTTGTAATTGTAAACAATTTTACAAATTATTTTATCAGCATAATAATTATATTAAATAAATAAAAAGATCTATATTTTGGAGTACCCCCCACCCAAAAAAAAAAAAAAAAAACAACTGAGAATTTTTTAAAAATTTTTCTATTTTCCTTTTTTTCTATTTTCCTTTTTTTTCCTGTAATGAAACAATATCACTATAAATTATATTATCAGTATAATTATATTACATAAAAATATCAATATTATGCAATCAAGAAAATATGAGAAAGATACAATCATGAAAATTGTTCTATTTTGCATTTTTATTGTTTAATACAACATTTTTTTTTACTACAAATTATATTACAAGCATAATAATTATATTAAATAAAAATATCTAAATTATGGAGTCAAAAAAATCTGGAAAAAAAATTAATAAAATAGTTCTCTTTTGCATTTGTGTAGTTTGCTTTTTGTATTTTGTAATTGTAAACAATTTTACAAATTATTTTATCAGCATAATAATTATATTAAATAAATAAGAATATTGCATCAGACGAGACGATGAAGAAGTTCATCAAAGCCGGAACTAATCGAGCCGTTTGTGCCAGGCTGGGGAGAAAGGTATTTTAATAATGTAAATTATGTGAAAAATAATGCGTTTTTCGAACCACCAAGCATGAGAGCATGTTCTAGTACACCCCCAAAACAAAATCAAGACTTTGTAAAAGAGCATAATAGGACCCCTTTAAATAAAAATATCTAAATTATGGAGTCAAAAAAATCTGAAAAGAAAATTAATAAAATTGTTCTCTTTTGCATTTGTTTAGTTTGCTTTTTGAAAAACAAAATTGAAATGTTTCTATTTTCCATTTTTTTGTACTGTAACGAAAAAACATCACTATAAATTATATTATCAGTATAATTATATTACATAAAAATATCAATATTATGCAATCAAGAAAATCTGAGAAAGATACAATCATGAAAATTGATCTATTTTGCATTTTTATAGTTTAATACAAATTAGTTTTTACTACAAATTATATTAGCAGCATAATTATAAAAATATATAAATTGTGGAGTAAAAAAAAAATCTAAATTAAAAAAAAAATGGTTCTATTTTGTAGTTTTGTAGTTTAATATGATCATATATCTAGTTCAGTTTCAATATGCAAGAAAGGAAATTTGACTAAGTTCACCAATATCAGCAGCAGAAATGTGCTTCTATTTGGCCACTGAAAACCCCACACTGGAAACCCGCTAGAGTCCCACTCCCGCATTTCGGGATCTTACTGATGCCATTGATGAAATCATTGAAGAGACTGTAAGGGAAAAGAGGCTCCTGCAGCTCTCTGAAGAAGAGCTTCAGCGCTCCTGTGATCACATGGATGTCCCAGTTCCCCTCCTCCAGGTCCAGATCCTCTGGAGAAACACACAGAGACACACACGAGTCAGTCGGAATCGCTAAAGTGTCAAGAAGACACAGACAATGTGAGTGGAAACGCTTGGGTCATGGAAAATCACTACTGACCAAATATGAGAAAACAACTAAAAAGTGGTGCTTCCCCTCGCAAACTCTATTCTGTTTCTGTTTCTAGTTTTAGCATTAAATGTAAAATGTCTTATCTCAGCACAATATCTCCTCAATAACCCACACTCATCCATAGTAGTGCTGTTTATAATGTTATTTTTTTAATACACCATACTTTCACCCAAACTGATTAAATAAAAACAAGTTTAAATGGGTAAATCTTCTATACATATTTTTGATTCCTCATTTTCTTTTCTGACATACTCCAATTCTTGTTAAAACACACTAGACATGCTTATTCTGTGCATTTTTAGCACTTTTTGTGTGAAATCATATTTATTTTGTCTCTCAAAAGTGTGCTGTCACTTTAAGTGAGCGTGAGCAGCGCAGCAAAAATAGACTCTGTGCCGAAACCATTGCTTCAGTGCTGCTCACGCGACGCTCCTGCTCCCAGTGTGAATGCACTCTTTTGTTAACATGCACACTGAAAAAAATATGCGTTGCTCACGCTTGTGGTGTGAAACCGGCATGATAAAGTTACAGCTCCTATTATGAGCAAATGCAATAGTGACGTCTTCTTAAATACAAAAGGAAACTAACAAACTATAATACAGAGTATGACATCTTGGTGCAGACGTGAAGAGCTAGTAAACTGAGCTGATGAAGTGTAAAATGCATGCTGATGAATTATACCATGATCTGCTTTGAAACGCAGTTTCTGGATGACTGCCAAATTCCCACTAACTCTGTAGAGTCCATCGATCTCCAGACCTGATGGATAACAACAACAAAAATCAGTTCATGCAGCTTGATTTTTAAATATTAAACAGGGCCAACATTTTTAGACGTACTCAAAAGGTTTATAGGTTATTAAAAAGTGTAGAGGTGTTTTTAGGTTATTTTGTAACAGCGCTCGTCAATGTCAAAATGACTAAGATGACCAATCAAATCAAAATAGGGCGGGCTTTAGAAAGAAAACAAACGTGAATTCCAGTGTGACCATTCTGTTTTTAATGGGGAAAGTCTGTGAGGTCAGATATAAGTAACTAAATATTTAATATTTGACAACTACCATAGAAATGTTAAACAAAAAAATGTGATGATTAGACAAGAAACATTCAGCCATTTTGCATTTTCGGCATATGAATAAGAATGATTTTTTATTTTTTATATATTATTTACAAATAGTTCAAATGTATTACTTAAAAAAAAAAAAAACGTATTCTTTTTAATTGACTGTTCTTTTGCTTTATTTCTTTAAATCCATTTAATCCTTTAATTATTTAATTCCTTTAAATAAAAAGAACCCCGCCCAAAAACAAAACAAAACAAAACAAAACAAATACCTAAATAAATAAATAGTCCCCTCCCAACATTCAAGACATGGTTACAGCCTTAAAATTAAATGACATAAATTATACACATTATTAATCCAAAGTCAATTTCAATAATCAAAATATTTGGCAGTGGTGTAAAGGTAACACACCTCTTTTCTCTACCGCCCGGATGCATTTCTCTACAAAGCTGGGCACTCTCGTCTTTTCTTGAGTGCAGAGATTGTGCAAGTGACATCCGAATACATTTTCTGTGGATCAAAGGGTCACATTAGAATCAGTTTTCATTCAAAATCTTCTGTAAAGGGAACAGGAAATGGATGAGGGAAAGCAGTGATGGACCTCTGATATATCCCTTGTCTTTGACCGACTGCAGGGTGGGCCGCTTGAGGAGAAACTTCTTCAGTTTGGTGCGGACCTTCTTCTGATCTGCTTCAGGTGTCGAAGAGGACGAAGGATGACGAGATGCTAATGAACAGGAAGAGGGCAGTACATTTTTATACTCATTTTCTGTATCCAGTACTGTGCTTTCAGCATTTTCTTTTCAATTTTTTTTTAGTATCTTTAGTTTTTTATAAATGGATAAAATTTACTGTAATTATTTTCTCACATTTATGTCATTGGGGGTCAAACCAACAACATTTCATGTGGGACAAAAAAATTAGAACATTTTCAAAATATCTTCTTTTTTGTGTTCAACAGAAGAAAGAAAGCCATTCAGGTTTGGAATGAATAAATTACGACCAAATTTTTATTTTTGGGTGAACTATTCCTTTAACCCTCCGCTGGTCTTTTATATTATAATGGAAAAGTTGACTTTTAGAATTTTTTTAAATATTATGCTTCATCAGAATGGTAAGAAACTTGATGCTTTTTCTGGCACTTGCTATATAAACACACACAAACGTCTGGTTTGCTATCCTTGTGGGGACTCTCCATAGGCGTAATGGTTTTTCTACTGTACAGACCGTATATTCTATTGCCCTACACCAACCCTACCCCTAAACCTACCCCTTACAGAAAACTTTCTGCATTTTTAGATTTTCAAAAAACTTCATTCTGTGTGATTTATTAGCTTGTTTACCCGTGGGGACCTCAATTTAGGTCCCCACCGTGACACGAGTCCCCATGAGTCTGTGTGTGTGTTCAGGTTTAAGTCCCCACCGGAATAGAAAAACAGGTACACACACGCACACACACACACACACACACACACACACACACAGGTTTTAATTTTTTGTGGGGACATTCCATAGGCGTAATTGTTTTTATATTGTACAAACTGTATTTTCTATCCGCTTACCCTAAACCTACCTCTCACACAAAACTTTATGCTATTTTAGTTTTTCAAAACACTTCATTCTGGATGATTTATAAGCTTGTGTCCTCATGGGGACCTAAAAATGTCCCCACAAGGTCAAAATTTACTGGTATTATTATCCTTGTGGGGACATTTGGTCCTCAAAATGTAGGGAATACCAGGTACACACACACACGCACACACACACACACACACACACACACACACACGCGTACACACACACACACACACGCGCGCGCGTACACACACACACACACACACACACAATAAATAAATAAAAATAAATTAAATTAAAAAAGTTTAAATGGCTTAATCTAGTCATCTAGTGGTTGCACAATGGTATTACATAGGATTTTATGATAGCCTTTAGGATTTTAAATATCTTTGCTGTTTTTTTTTTTTTTTATTAAAAACTGTATTAATTTAAATAAATGCTGCATAATTGCTGCATAAAAGTACCATGAAATCCCCTCAAAATACAAAATATTAAAGAGTAAATATTACTGAAACATCTTATGATACATTCCTTTCATTCAAAATAAAAAAGTTACACTTAATACACTTATACCAGAGGGTTAAGAATCATTTGAAGCACTACCATTGCTCATAGTTCTTTTGTCGAAGGGTCTATCCTCTCTGTCTAAGCTCGAGGACTTCTCACTGATTTCCTCCTCATCTTCAGAGTGGTGCTGATCCAGATCCTGACGCAGATCCTGGCCCAGAGCAATGCAGAAATGCAGATTTCAGAGAAAAACACAACCAAGTTTTGTTAATGTTCAGTTCTGGACAACGATGCAAGACTCACCAGCTGGTGTATGGTATCTGTGATGATTTTATACCAGTCTGTGATGATGCTCTCAGTGTCGTACTGGATCAAGTACTCCACACCATTGCGACTCTTAAGCTGAATGAACAAACAAACACACATGGAACGTCAAGACGACACACTAGTCAAGTATAGAGTATGATCATCCAGCACAGTCGTAGGTAGTGCTGTAACAGCCATACCTCCAAAACATTTTTCTTGCTTGATTTGTCCTTGGTTGCCCGGTTAATTGTTGCCCCTCTCAGTTCGACTGTGAATTCTGGAACTATCTGGTTTGTCTTGCTCTACGTAATATAAAATACAATCAGTGTTGTGAAAAATGCAAATTCTACATTTGCTGGTTTTGTTTCTCACCGATGCTCCAGCTGGTGTCTTTGGATCCTTATGGAATGTCAGTATCCCTCCATGGAGAACCGTCCAGGAATTACTCCAGTTCTTCCTGTGGGACGATTTGTAAAATGTTATACTTTTACATACGAACATAACAGTTTTCACCGTAACACTTCACAAAAAGGTCAGATTGGTGAACGTTAGTTAATGAGCTAACTAACATAAACTGACACTTAGCGATACATTTGTCTTTGTAATTCATGTAAAATAATAAACATATAACTGTTCATTGTTACACTAGTTCATGTCCCGTTAAATAATATTAACAGATATAACTTTTGATATTAATAATGCATTAATAAATGCTGAAATTACTACTAGCTGAGATTAATAAATGCTTTACTTTACTGTAAAGTGTTACCATTTTCATGATGGCCAACCTTACCTAATTTTCTTCCCGTTTTCAGACACCTTTGTTTTATTCAGGATTCCAGCCTTTTCCAAGTTTGAAACCTTAAAAAAAAAAAATGTAATGAGTTAATACAGCCTCTCTGAAAGAAACAAAAAATGTACAGGATAATGTCTGACATCATGAAAGTGAAGTGAATTATAACCTTTAAGGTTCACCTTAAAATGTCGAACAGAAAAAGTAGATTACTGTTCAGCTGTTTTATCCTTTTAATGGTTTTAAATTGAGGAGCAAATCATTTAACACTCCATTTCACTCTTTAAAATGCTCATATAATAAAATCACAAGTATCCACAGGTAAGAAGTGTTCTTCGGTACAACATCAAGCACAGTTTGAGCTAAAACCCCCTTAAACACGGTAAAACCATCATGTTAATGTTAGGACCTTCATGCTTTATAGCCACATATAGCAGTTTAGAGCTGTGCGATAATATAGTTCACATTTTGTGATGATATAAACAATCAGGCAGCTGAAATTTGCTGTATATATATATGTTGCTTTTTTCTGTGAGTATATGCGGATAAAATTGGACATTAGACTTATTTAGACTAATTAGACTTAATATCCAACTTAATATAAAGAGCTGTGAGATAATATATTTATATTTTGTGATGATATAAACAATCACACAGCTGAGATTTGCTAATACAGTATATATGCACATATACACTGTAAAAAATGTAGTAAATAAAACAAAGATTACTGAAGTATGTTCACATTTAATTCAATGTATTACTTGCTGTTTCTTTGTAATTATTTGTGAAATTTACTTGGAATTTGAACAGTGATTGTAATACCAGTACTTTGATATTTACCGTGGTTCGGTATAATTAATTTAATGGAACTCCACCATGGTAAATGTCCAAAAAACAAGGTACTGCCATGATATCACGTCCAAAACTCATGGAAGCATTGTGATACATTTGGTACTTGCTTTTTTGAGTAGAAGGCAGCAACTGGGCTGTAAGTCTCATTAGTAACCACCAGGGGCCAGTGTGGCAAAATACTATTGCATGCATGTGACTATCTCCGAGTTTGACATCAGATGTTTTGGTATCTTAGACTGTTCTTCATAGGTTTACAGTAAGTATCGGTGATCTGTTTGGTGTGTACAGACTGTTTTAAATGAATTAAATGGGTCATTCTTCTAGTCATATTCAAAAACTTTTGATTAGACATTGCTCCACTTGTCCTAACCTGCATAAATACTTTTACTCAGCATGTATTGTGTAACTGCATAATTATATTCTCCTGTGCAATTTATGGAACACCTCTACACTGGCATTATCAAACCCAACACTTACCAAGGAAAAGAGAGAAAAACACATCAATACGTTTTGTTTCCTGATGACACAGCATGTCATTCATGGCAGTAAGTGTTACGTATCCGGTCCATGAAATTCCATCTGCTAGCCATCAGAGGTCACCCTTTCCATTTTCATTGACTCTCGCACGACACACTGTTGCATATCACCCCGGACTACATATCCCATCATTCATTGCACTGATTGCACACAGCACTGATTGCACACAGCTGTTTCATATCACTCACTCACTATTTAACACTCACTCTGATCCCTTCCCGTAAGCACATAATGAGCTTATAATAATCACATGAATGGTGCCCGAAGATTTCCTTTATGTAGTTTATTGTAAAATTTAGATCAAAATTTATATTTTATACTGTGACATCTGGACCTTCTGACTAGACCCTTATGGGGGGTATGGGGGGTTCATTTGATTAGACTTTATTGTATTGTCTGTTGCTTTTTGATATCCTTTTTTATTATTATTGTTTTTTTTGTGTGTGTGTTATTTCAGTGGCCCTTGGGGTGGGTTATGGGTGGAGGGGTTCTTTGTTAAGTTTTGTTTCTTGTTTTTCTTCTGATCAGACACCTTATCTCATTTTGTAACAGATGTAATACCTTTTTATATGTCTGCAAAAATTCTATTAAAAAAACAACAAAAAAAACCAATTATATTTTAAAAGATATAAGCGTTTGATCTGGAGTCTTACATTATGTGGCATCTCAGGAGAGCTGGAGGCATCGCTGTCTGGTGTATTCTGAGGATATGATGAGTGACTCTTCTGTTAAGAGAAAATAACAGGTAAATCACACTATGCATTTACAATAATGGCCTAGAAACTAAAAAAAAGAGACAAGACCATTTAAATATGGTGAAATATACCATTTTCATTACACAACTGCATTTTTTCATTGCAGTAAAAACATTTGTTTGCAGTAAAAACAAACAAAACAAACAATAAAATAAGCCAAACTGACTAAAACTCAAGATATTTACTATTTTAATGCACCCCCTCAACAACTGTCTTGAAAAACATGGATTTATGAGTCCAGACCTGAAAAAATTCATGTAAATTAACAAAATTGTTAATCTCCACAAAATCGTAAAATCATACGTTTCTATAATGGACTTGATGAATGACACTTCTGTTTGTGATAAAATCACATGTGTAAATCATTTACATTTGTAGGGCATGATACAATAATACAATAATGCCCTAGAAAACCAAAAATTGCTTCTCAAAAACAGACAAGACCATTTAACTGTGGTCAAATATACCATTTTTAGTACACAACTAAATTTTTCCATTGTGTGCCTTTGGTAAACACCATTAGTAATGCAGTACAGTATGCTACTGTGTTAATAACCCAATTAATCTCCATGGAGCAGTTCAGTGAAAACAGGGTAAATGTTGAGTATATGTTTGCATATTGAAATGATAGGATCTAAAATACTAGGAGGGATTTAAATAGAGCAACTCTATAACAAACTGAGTCTCAGGTGCATTCTAGAGCCTATTTAGGAAACACGGTCACTAAGGACACGCATGAAGGATCAGGTGTGCATCACATGCGTCAGGGCATCACTCTTTGTTTATGAGTGTGGGTGAGCTGTTGGATGAACTAACACATGTAGAGGTAGAAATTCAAAGCAAATGTGTGTGAGTACATACATCTTCCTGGTATCCCGCACTGCGCCTCCAGTTTTGCTTGGATCCCATTGTGTCCTGCTCTAGTGAGGCCCCATTTCCCACTCCATACTGTCCTGGACTTCCAGAGTACTAGAAGTGTGAGAGAGAATTTGTATTCAGAAATGTTAACTTTATGAGAGGTTTTTGTATTTTTTTGAGCTTGTTAGTACACTGTAATAAAATTATTTTTTGAAGTTGTTATTGGAGTACATTTTACAAGAAAATATTATTTATGTTTTTCTACTTCAAAATTTCATGTTTAATTTGATGTGTTACTTGCCTTTGTTTGTAATTATTTGTGAAATCTACCAGCAATTTCTAAGTGAAAATTATAAAAGTTTTCACTTTTATAATTTTCCATTATTAATCACCACCCACTTTTACAAAAAAAAAAAAACAGCAGCATGGACATTCTGCCAAAAATATAATTTTGTGTTTTCACCGTATCATTTGGGATCAGAAGGACAGTTTCACTCATTTTTTTAGGTGAACAACAGCAATCTTTCAATGGGTCCTTAAAGGGATAGTTCACCCAAAAATGAAAATTTGATGTTTATCTGCTTACCCCCAGGGCATCCAAGATGTAGGTGACTTTGTTTCTTCAGTAGAACACATATGATGATTAACCGTTGCAGTCTATCAGTCGTATAATGCATGGCAATGGTAACAAAATCTATGAGAGTAAAAAAAACATGCACAGACAAATCCAAATTAAACCCTACGGCTCGTTGATTAAAATGATGCTAAAGCAGCAAAAAAAAAAAAGAAAAAAAAAAGATATGTTTAATTTACCCCTTGACAGCCAGGATTCCCATGGTCGTGGAAAACTTAGATATCTAGACTTGGATAAGTTATGAAAATGAATAAGTTTTGGCCATTTTTTACACATTTAATGAATATACGTTTTTCTACTAATACCACGCTCTGAAAAATTATACCGACAGGAATAAATTGTGAATACAAATGTTAAAAAATTCTTATCTCTCATGTCATTCCAAACCTGTATGACTTTCTTTCTTCTGAGGAACACAAAAGAAGATGTTTTGAAGAATGTTGGTAACCAAAGCGTTTCAGTTCTCTTTGACTTCCATAGTATGGAGGGGGGAAAAATACTATGGAAATCATTGGAAACTGAAACGATTAGTTACCAGCATTTTTCAAAATATCTTATTAGGAAAGAAAGTCATACAGGTTTGAAACAACACATGGGCTAGTAAATAATAACAGACTTTTAAACGTTTTTTGGAAGAACTATGCCTTTATTCCTTAACCAGTAAATCACGAACAGCTGAAAAAGTCATGGGGCTTTGAATATGGTTATAGATTAGGGGGGACAAAAAGGTTGAGAACGACAGCTTTAAGACCCGTTCGCACCAAGGACAATAATTATAACAAAAAAAGTTTTAATAATCATTCTAATTCTATAAGAACAGGCCATTTCACACCGCAACTATAACAATAACTACAAACAGAAACGCTATCAGTTCAGAATCACATTCAGAACAATTTCTTCCAGCTGATGAATGATAAAAAACATTGACAGCCAATCAGAATCCACCTGGCTTCACATAGAGCGCGAGCATTTAAAGCAGCAGATAACAAAAGAGCAGTGTCCTTATAACAAACAGAACTTTATTGTCTGCTAAGTTTGGGCGCTAATATAGTTATCGTTCTTGGTGTGAACAGGCCTTCAGGTGGACAATCCCAAATTTTCCCACTGTATCTCACCTCAGGCAAGTTCCACTGGGACTTGCTGCCATCTCTTAAGTAGTAGTATGTCCGTCCTCGATCGTCTAGCGACTTGATCCACTGTCAACAAGACGCTTCATTAAGTTCACCAAATTACAAAACTAGCCTACAGCCCTACTATCATCCACATCACTAATAATAGCAAGCTAATCAGCCCAAATAATAAGTAAGCCAGCCCAAAACAAGGACACGCCAAGGTCAGTGTCAAGTGTCCTGTACCTGCTCCTGCGTGTGGTCGCTCGTGAAGACCCAAGCTCCTTCAGGGTCGATGCTGAGGGTCCAGCCTGGTGGGACGCTGTGATCCAGACTGGCCCTGGGGATTGAGACCTTCTTCACATGAATCAAAGTATACTCTGATGGCATAGAGAGAGGAGATGCTTCCTCCAGATCTGGAGATGCTGGGTAGTCTTCCTCAGGAAATGGAGGCTACATTTTGGGGAGTAAAGAAGACAATAAAAGTATCATTCAAACTTTTTAAAAAAATTTTTAATTCAATTTTTCATTTAATTCTTTCATGATAGAAATAGAACTCATTATTAACTTTTTTTTTGCAGAAAAGGGTAGTGTTTGAGAAACCCTTTTGAAAATATTATTATTGCAATTTATTAATTGCATTTGTTTTTGCGTTTTCATTTGTCACATAAATTACAAATTAAAATTTTAATTATACTATTTTTTTTATGCAACTCAATGTAATACTTTAGTCTACTTTTAGGAGACAATTGATCAAATCTGAAGAGAAAAAAATGATTAAACAAGCAACAAAATAAGTCAAACCTATTAATTCATCCCCACTGTCTTGAAAAAAGTGTATATATGAGGCAGTCTAATCTTAAATGTTAAATATTTTTTTAATATTTTTACAATATATTAAAAAATATATTTTAAAAAATCACGGGGTCTTCGAACATTGCTGTGGACAATGGGGGATCTTGAAGACAAAAAGGCTGAAAACCACTGGTTTAAGACCCACTGACACCAAGGACGATAACTATAACCATAACTATAAAATAATTTACATGATAATATTATACTAAGTATAATTTCCAGGTTGACAGTGTGAGATCAACTCACTGGTTCTCAATCCAAAGATGACTTAAAATGATTAAAAATAAGACAAAGCCAGCAATAATATAAGTCAAACCAACTAAAATCCTCTCAAAAATGGTCAAAAAACCTACATATGCTGCATGAGGAAGGAGAAATTTTAGATTTTAGATTTCTAGACTTTGAAAAGTGTATATTAATTAAGTGTAATGTATATTAATAAAATCGAAAATCTCCACAGCCATTTTTATTTTTTATTATTCTATTATAAAATATAAATTGTAAAAAATATTTTCAACTGCAAATGTCATGGGGCTTTCGAATATTGCTGTGGGCAATGGGGGGCCATGGGGACAAAATGGTTGAAAACCACTGTAATAATAAAAAAAAGCTATAGACTTTAACCCTTGTGCGACCTTTTGGACATTTTTGTCTTTTCAGTTTTGTTTTTTTTGATAATTTTGCCTGTGTTATTGCCAACTGCATACATTTTGGCACAGATGAGTATTTTTATTGGAATTTTACTATTTCACTTCAATTTCCTTTAATAAATCTGTTTTGCACTAGGTACAAAAATTATAACTTTTTTTTTGGTTTCACTTTTTAAAGTTTTTTTACTTCAGCAATAATCTGCCATGGGTCTTCTGTAAAATGAGACCAAACTTAACTCTCCCAAGACCAAACTTTGCTCCCAAGCTTCAAATTTTTATGACAGTTTTTTGACATGGACATTTTTGTCCACTATGGACCTATGTGTAACTTTTTTTAAGTGACGCACAAGGGTTAATTAAGGTAGTGTCATATTTCATTTTTGACAGCCTTGAAAACAAGGCTGTGAGTGATAGAAGTACAGTGTGTTCAATAGCTTGTAATGTTGTTTAACATAGTGATTGTTTAGCTAACGAAACGTCTTTGTAAAGTTGTAAGGTTGTAAAGACTGTCAATTCCTCACAGCCTCGTTTTCATCCATGTAAAATCCAATATGGCATCTAACCTGACTAAGGTCTATTTGCACATAAATACCATAATATGGTAACATAAAACCTCCATACCGGGCAATCTTCCAGAAACTGCTCTGGTGAGGTGATATCCTCTGGGGGATCCCATGAGCTCTGACCCGACACAATGTTAAAGAAGTAATGCCTGCCAGTATTCTCATCCAGCACCTTCTCCCAGTCCGAGCTCCACCTTTGAGGAGAAGGGAATAGGGGCGAGCTGATGGGAGACTGGGGGAACGAGGGAGGAGAACGGGCCTCCTCTGTCCCCACTGACGACTCCATGGAGTAGCTGAGCGGATACTCCCAGGTGCTGCGGCCCGTAGAGGGGTGGTAGTAGTACTCTTGGCCGCTCTGGTCGTCAGTATGGATCTCCCATCCCGCAGAGTCTAAAAGAAGGGTATCGGGAGTGTCTGGGAACTCCTGTAATGGAGAAGCAACGGTACTGGAGGTGTCAGTGGTACTCCGACGCACCCGGGGGAGGTTTACATACACCGCCGTGAGAGCGCTGTCATCCTCTACCTGATGGACAAAAATGACACCCATGAATGCATATACTTGTACAAGACATGATGCCAAAGGCACCCAAATATGATGATCTCTTTGCAAGGAGCCCCTTAAGGAAGCTATATTTTCATGTATGATAACCCATTTGGTGTGCAAGTGTAAGACATTTTTGTGTGCAATATCATAAAGACAACGTTGTTTAAAGGGGTCATATGATGCTATTTTAAAGATCATTATTTGGTGTATTTGGTGTAACAGAATATCCACGCTCGAAGGGATTCTCCACATCACCAGAAAGTAAAACAAAACCAAACGCTCCTTAACCTGAGGAACATTCAGCACACACACCACTGTCAACTGTGTTCTGGAAACACACTTATGTTCAAACTAACAAGGCTTTTTTCACAAGGATGTGTAATGGTCACTGACACAATGCCAAGGTGTTGCTATATGGTGGTTGAGGTGTTCGGGACGGTTTTTAGCACGTTATTATGAGGTTGTTAGGTGGTTGCTTCCTAGCTCAAGTCTCTGTGATGTTCTGGTCTCTAAGAGAAGTCTAACAGATGAGATTTTATTCCATTTTATCATCTGCCAGGCAAAAATCATAAGCTTGCTCTCACAGAAAAGCAACAGCAAACCTCTTCTCAACAAATAGCACAATTTATGGTGTCATTCATATGCAATAATTTTCATTTGCTTATGCATGTTACATAAGCGGTGCACAGACTTTTATTACTTACACTGTAAAAAATGGTTGTGATTTTAACAGTATTAAACGCAACGTTTCGGTCCACTGACCTTCATCAGGCAAATTTGCCTGATGAAGGTCAGTGGACC